TGGGATGGGATTGAACCTAGGTTGTCAGCAGAGTTTTGGCTGCAGTACTGCAGTTTAGGCACTGCACCACAAGACAGTGTGTTTACTCAGTTTATATCTCATCTAGAAATAATTGGAGTAAAAATTACTAGTTACAGCTCTGTTTGTAGAAGACATTTCAATCAGCTTCATCCAGAGAGCCGTGACAATATCGGTGTGTTTCAAGATCAGAAAGAAAGGAAGAAAGACTGATTTGGCCTGGTTTGGGGTCCAAAGACAGTGCGCATGCCTTGTTTAAACACACATGCACAATTTCACACAGCATAGGCAGCTAATGTGGTATACTGGAAAGCATGTCAGACGAGTACTCAAAAAAACCAGGGCTGAAATCCACATTCGGCTGTGGACCCTCATGGAACGACAAACACTTCTTGCACGTTTCACATTCCTTAGAAAACCCTATTAGAGCCACTAATAAGTCAGAGGTTACTTGATGCCACATAGCAGCAACTGGCACATAGCACAGCTCCTACTTTCCGTCTCCTCAAGCAGCCGAGTCAAACCAGCTGAGACAGGCGCTTCACATTCAGAAGCTGGTAGGACCTTTCCTCACAGCCCCAGGACTGCGCACATAGACCTGCAAACGCAGGCTGTGTGGACCTCCGGATAAGGAATCACAAAAAAACAAAACAAGTTGATTCACAAGATACAGGAGTCGAGAAGAGGTGGTGCTAAAGGAAGATCCACTTCTGAAAGTGAAGACACCATCATGTCTAGTGTAAATCTGAGCTCACATGAGCCTAATGCTCTCCTGCAGTAGGGAAGGAGCCCCCCCCCCCCCCCGCTTCTCTGGCCTTTCCTGCTAACTGGGCAACTCTGTCTTGTCTTCTTCAGTCAGACCAATCCTGTGGCCTAACCTAAGAGCCTGGACTGAGCAGACTCTCTGGTTTAGTAGCCTGTTTCTGCTGGGGGGCTGGCCCACAGGCAAGACACCAAGGGACCAATCTCTTCTCTGCTTTCATTGGGGGGAGGGAACCAAGTCCCTGAACCTCCCAACCATTCTGGCCATGGGTCAACAGCATGCAGTCTTCACATTCTCAGGGGCACCTGCGCATGGAGGTCCGGAGCATCGCCTCCCTTCCTCGCTCACTTCTTCACAGCGTGGGTCCCAGCGACTTTCCGCAAGGCAGGTCCTGGTCCGCATCTGGATACCAGTTTCATCGCATTTGGCAGAGCATTCGCTCCACCTTGACCACGAGGACCAAAGCATTTTGGCATCTTGAGGCAAGGCGGCTGCAGAAACGACATTGTGTCTGGGTTACTGAC